GTTCTTCTCTAGAATCTCCCTGTACATGCTATCATTCATTCTACCATGGATAACTTGTAACTCACCAGTGCTCTTGGATGAAAAGCATCCCCATATCATAATGGAAGCACCCCCAAACTGTGGGGATGGTATTGTGCTTGTTGAAGGCAATGCCATTTTTTCGCCAAACACTTGTCGCTGTGTTCCTTCCGAATAGTTCAACTTTCGTTTCATTTGACCGGATTACCTTTTCCCAAAACTGCATACCTTTCTTTTCATAAGTTTCGACAAACTTTAATCTGTCTTTAACATGTTTGGTTTTCAGTAAAGGCATTTTTCTTGGTGATCTTGAATGAAAGCCTGTACGATATAGAGCTCTGCTAATGGTATCCTTATTTACATTAACTCCAGCACCCTCAAGATCAGTTTTAATTTCAGAACGAGTAATGAAGGGGTTTTTTGCACATTTCTGCTGATCCACCTTGAAGTACTCTCATTTATTTTTCTCGGTCTTCCATTTCTTGGAAGGTTTGCTGTACCGTCGCCATACTTCTTATACTTTCTGATGATATTTCCTACTGTACTTTGTGCCAGATTCATTTCTTTGCTAATTTTTCGGTAACCTTGTCCTCCTTTGTAACGTTCAATGATTCGATCTTGCGTATATCTGGATAATTCTTTAGTTTTTGCCATTTTTAATCCTTGAATTGCAGAATGCACATCAAAGAGTCAGATGATTAGTAGCACTATCTTGTAAACAACTGTGTGCTTCTCTGATTGGTCAGAGATAACATTCCAATGCTATCGAAAATTTGAATATTTAAAGTCTTTTAAAATACAAAGTTTTGATTGGAAATTTGAAAAAGTGTCATGTATCCAATACTTTTTGCTTCCCGACCCTGTATGTTGTTAAGATTGTGGCCGCCAATAATGAACCTGGTAGGACTTCTAATTCCCTCACAATCGGCTCTTTGAATATGTCCCGTCAGAAGACACATCGTTGTCTTACATCACTACCTAGTTTTGTATATTTACTGAATTCATTTTCTGTCCAGTCATTTGTCATTCACTGCTCGATCAACGAATGCCAAATGTTTCCTTAGAATGAAACGTTTAACATAACCATTATTATTAGAGATGCTGAGAACAGATACTACACTTTGATCTCAGCCCGATGGCTAGGGAGTAAAGAAAAGCGTAACTCAAGTAGCAATGACTGCTCGATCAGTGAATGCCAAATGTTTCCTTATAAGGAAACGGTTAATATTACCATTACCATTAGAGATGCCGAGAACAGATATTTGTTCATTCTAAAATCCTTCCCAAGAATATGAAGGTTGCTGAGCAGCTCTAATAGATCTTTGGGATGTACTTTATCGAGCATTTGTATTGCTCTTTCTGGTAACATTCTGCTGCCTCCTCTATTCACCAGAATTCGGATGATAAGTTTTGTTGTATGGCTCATTAAGCTGATAGTCCAATGGAGTTCGCATTCATTTGTACCTGGCTTACCTCCTTAATAATGTTTTTCTCTTTCTCATATTCTTTGACAATAACACCTTACATCTTAATTGGCTTTATTGCTTTTCTTTTGGTGAAATAATATATATTACAATTTCAATCTTGAATATTTCTTGGTTGTTGTATCGGACTGTCTAGGTCAATGTATGTGGGTGTATGTACATGTCTTTATCGGTGTCAGTGTGTATAGTAACTTGCATGCACATTTAATTGTGTATGTATGTGTGTGTTCTGTTTTTTTTTTTTTTTTTGTAATTTTTTGTAAAGAGTTGTGGAGATGTTTCCTGTCTCGTCACTTTTTTTTGTGTGTATATATCTAAATATGTCTGGGTGCTTATGTATTATATTTATCTGGGTGTGTATGTATTTTTCTTTCGCAAGATGTAATCATCCCAACCCTACATTTGTATTCAAATGTATCCATGATGTCATTAAGTTAAGGGCAGTCGATCTTAACGTTTATTCCAACGTAATTTCAATAAAAACAAAATAAATAGAATAACATATGTATTTTTTCTTTTTTCCACGCTAATTTTATAATTTTAAACTTAATAGTGATTAAATTTAGATTTTAAAATGGGTAATTTTTTTATTTTTAATTTTAATTTCAAATTTTATCATGTAATTTCATACTTATCAGTTAGAATAAATTCTATCTTAGTATAACCCCAACTTTAAAGCACTTAATAGCTATTACAGCCTTACTTTGTTGTCAAGATTTTTTTGAATTCTCGTATACGGGTATTTTGATTGGTCATTCCAGCTTATGTAACAGCGTTTCCCCTTGCGAGGGGTGGTTTAATTGATTTGAACTTTTTAAAACCCTTTATTCTACATTCAACATCATCACTTGATAGGACATCGGAGGTGTTGAAACAAAATAGCTATTTTTGTAGTGATTTTATAACATATTTATGTTATAATTTTTAAATAAATAATCATATTTGCTCTACTCTGTATTGAGCACTCTTTTAAGAATAGTAATTGTTGGTTATTGGAATTTATTCCGTATACACCAATCCTATACTTGATATATATATATATATATATATATATATATATATATATATATATATATATATATATATATTAGGGCTTACGGTGGAGTAATGGATAGAGACTTGGATTGAGGAATTCCAGTCGAATCCATTACATTCACTTACGTACTAACACCCTTGGGAAAGGTGTGAATCCTCTTCTCCCCCTCCAGCTATGGGTAAAATAGCAGGACAGGCTGGGTTCTATCGCCTTGGATGGCAACTGGTCTAGGAGAAGGACAACTCTGAATTCAAAACCTGCGGAGGGTCGTTTGGGGACCCTGTGGCACGTAGTGCACCAGGTCTCTGTATTCGGCCCTTCAAAAAGTGTGGGTGGTCCTGCACAAAACCTTCACCACTATAATCCAATCGCATGTGTTGACGTCGGACTGTCGGTTTCCTGGGAACTGATCTGCTTGACCCTCATACGTCGAATTCGACGGGAGAGTCGAGTATATATATTATCACTTTAAATGTTATTTTTAGTGGATACGCGTGCTTGCTGCCAGTATAGATTCTGGATTATTTACATTATTTAGACTATTGTCCTCATCTTTGTCGCCATATTTATCACAACGTTTCGGCCGTTTTACGCTCCGGCCTTCTTCAGGTGGTTGAAGAAACGTTGTGATAAATATGGCGACAAAGATGAGGACAATAGTCCGAATAATGTAAATAATGTACATAATGCATCATCACAGAAATATAGACAGACTCGGGTTCTGGATTATTCTAATATCCTTCTCCTAATATGTCATGGTTGCATAGTAGTCTCAACAGTTCTTTCGGACATACTTTATTAAACAAGACGTTATTTTCCATAATTAAAAGAACTAAATTTCCGTTTAATGATCTTCATTATTACATAAAGATAAATTAAAAATCTTTTCTAGGAAATGAGACTTTTGAACATCGTTTCAATTGTATAATATCTAATCTAGATGACATTAATTGTTGGATATGTGAAGAAAAAAAAATCAAAATGTGAAGTTGAAAATGTAGAGGTATAGCGAAAGAAGCCTTCCAGAAACTAATCAGAGTATTAAGAAACAGGAAAACATCTTTAGAAACAAAAACGTTTGCTTTATACATTATTAACCATCTAAATTCATAATTTGAATACGTTCTATGACCAGATGCAAACTCATTACATTGTAAAGCATAAGACATTGAAATACCAGTTCCCGTAGGATCGCATAAGTTAAGCAACGTCGAACTTGGTCCTTCTCTAGATGGGTGATCACTTAGATGTGCGGTAGGGATAATGGATAATTGCTCGGAATTGTTAATCGGAGAGCCGAGTTCCAACTTTGATCACAGTCCGATGGCTAGGGCGTAAAGAAAAGCGTAACTCAAGTAGCAATGGCTGCCCGGTCAGTGAATGCCAAATGTTTCCTTATAAGGAAACGGTTAATCTTAAGATTATCGTATCCATTAGTGTTGTGTCCCTGTGACAGTCTAAACTAATTTTAGTGTCCATCCGCAATGTCGGATTTTATTAAACTGTCTACAAGGATACTTACCGCTGATCGATAATAAGAAACTTGATAAGGTAGATACAAGCTAAAGGGGGTGAGGTCAAATTTTGCTGATGTCGACCGGCATTGGTAGACGGTGTCGACGTGTGTACGAGGTTGGGATTATTTCGATGGATCGATGTGAGGAATGAAGGGCTTAGTTGCATGATGAAGTGTGGCTGATGTTGCATACAAGAATGAAATTAAGGGGTCACTTAAATGGCGAATGATTGATATTTGCAGAGATTAGAATAACGCAGCGTGGAAAAGTTCGTAGAAGAGAGATAGATAGATATGAAAGAGAGGTATAGATAAATAGATAGATTTGAAGGACTTAAATATATTTATAGATAGATAGACATGAAGGATCTAGATAGATAGATAGATAGATAGATAGATAGATAGATAGATAGATAGATAGAGTGCAGGATGCAGTAGATATTTTAAATGTTCACCCAATACAAAGCCCAAGAACTACTCAATGTAGAGTTTTACAGATAGATAGATATGAAGGACCTAAATAGATAGCTAGCTAGCTGGATAAGTAGATAGATATGAAGTGCCTAGATAGATATGAAGTGCCTAGATAGATAAATAGATAGATATGAAGGACCTAAATAGATAGATAGATAGATATGAAGTGCCCTAGATAGCTAGAAAGATAGATAGATAGATATGAAGAACATAGATAGATAGATAGATAGATAGATAGATAGATATGAAGGACTTAGATAGTTTTATCCATAGATAGATGAAGGACATAGATAGATAGATAGATAGATAGATAGATAGATAGATAGATAGATAGATACAGTGCAGAATGCAGTAGATATTTTATGAAATGTTCACCCAATACAAAGCCCAAGAACCGCTTAATGTAGAGTTTTACAGATAGATAGATATAAAGGACCTAAATAGATAGATAGCTAGCTAGCTAGCTAGCTAGTTAGATAGATAGATAGATAGATAGATAGATAGATATGAAGTGCCTAGATACATATGAAGTGCCTAGATAGATAAATAGATAGATAGATATGAAGGACCTAAATAGATAGATAGATAGATAGATAGATAGATATGAAGTGCCCTAGATAGCTAGAAAGATAGATACATAAATATGAAGAACATAGATAGATAGATAGATAGATATTAAGGACTTAGATAGTTTTATCCATAGATAGATGAAGGACATAGATAGATAGATAGATAGATAGATAGATAGATATAAAGGGCCTCCGTTGTTCGCTAAATAGATTGATATGAAGGACCTAGCTAGATAAGATAGATAGATAGAGTGCAGGGTGGAGTAGATTTTTTATGAAATATTCACCCAATACGAAGCCCAAGAAGCGCTCAATGTAGAGATTTACTGAACGAGGTTGCTATATAAACGTAAGAGGACGTGCACACTATTAGGATATGCAATAAAGACAGCGCTTGACCGTAGATTTAAAGAAGTTAGGATTGTAATGACCTTGTAGGCATCTTTTTAAGAGTTGGTTTCAATAAGTTTCGGGTATCGGCGATGTTGTGTAGTTTTCTTCCTTAATGGAATACGAAGCAAATGAGGATAATTCGATTCTATGTGTGTGGCATTGGCGGCTCTTAGCTGTAAATATCTGAAATGGCGGAACTAAAAAAAATGAATTGAAAATACTGATAGATTTGCGATATTTCGTCTGGAAGGACTGTAGTCTTGTAAGGAATGCTTCACCTATAACGACGAGTAAACACTTTTGAACACTGTCAAGTGTACAAAGTGAAGATTAGGTAACATGACAGAGCATAGTAGGAGGAGCCTGGTTCAAAGAAACCGACCATTTTACCACCATCTTTAGCAATATATCAGATATATGAGTTCTACTTGAGTGTCGGGGAGAGCTTTAGTCCCAAGAGGTGTTCAAGGCAAGAAGCCTCCTTGAGAGAACAAGAGTTCATCATAAAAAGCGAAAATTCAAGGTTTACTAAGTAATGGCCGAAGGTTTGTTTAACGGCATAATGCCGAAATTTAATTTTCTTGGGGGCTTTGAAGTAATAGAAATAAGATAGGTTATTCTGCTTTCGCAACTGAATACATGGTAGATGATACTCAGCTTTTGGGCATATACATGTTTGCGTGAACATAATTACTAGAGACAGTGATATGTGTGTTTCATGTAGATTTGCTGAAGTTATATTTTGGAATAACGTTTGCTTTCTTTAAGAAACTGTAGGATATTATATGGATTACTGTCATGAAAGAGTTCTTTCATGTTGGTTGTTTTGTTGATTTTGTTTACCGGGATATCAACATCTATAGGTTATTTAATGCGGAAATTGAAATATTTTGAATACACTTGCATACCTTTAACTAAAGATAAAATGTCGTTCTGGGTATGACGATCAACTACATCCGGCAGCAAGGCCTCTAATCAAGAGGTTGTGAGGAGCGTGGAACCACCTCTTAATTTCTGTTGTTCCCCGGTTCACCCTTACTCTTTTAGGGTCCCAGTTAAGGGCAAATAGTTAATCCCCAGACTGGTGTCAAAACACTATCAAAGTATAAAAATAGGTTTTAATACCAGCAAAACATTTTTGGAAAAATATTAGCAGCAATAAAGTATTACCAGTAATATATTTTTGAAAAAAAAACATATTAGCAGCAATAAAAATCTTGTTGGCATTAAATAACCTATTGAGGGTGATATACCGTAAAACAAAGCAAACCAAACAGATAAAATATATTGCTTGTCATTTTGCTATAAATACATATTTTTATACTTTTATAGTGTTTTGTTTTTGTTTGGGGGTTCACTATTTGCCCATAGCTGGGACCCTAACAGGTACTACCACCTCGGGTCAGGGTGAAACTAGTAACAATAGCAGTTAAGAGGTGGTTCAACGTCCCCAAAATCTCCAATTTTCCAATCAGAAGCCTTGCTGCCGGATCTAGTTTATCGTCATAACGAGGACTTGCTTGATTTGGTGGATGGGGTATTGAATATATGTCAGTTATTCCATGGTTAAGCTGTCAGAGCCCGATATTTACTTGAACTGTGTCAGGTTCTGACCCCATGTCGGTTTTTAAGGTGAGGACCTGAGTGTTTCCATTCAGGCCGCTGGTCTTAGCATGTCTAAGCTGGTCTTAGCTGGTCAGAGCTCGTCTAAGCTGGTCTGAGCTTGTCTAAGCTAGTCTTAGCTGGTCAGAGCTCGTCTAAGCTGCTCAGAGCTTGTCTAAGCTGGTCTTAGCTTGTCTAAGCTGGTCTTAGCTGGTCAGAGCTCGTCTAAGCTGGTCAGAGCTTGTCTAAGCTGGTCTTAACTGGTCAAAGCTCGTCTAAGCTGGTCAGAGTTTGTCTAAGCTTGTCGAAGATGTTCTTAGCTGGTCAGCGCTCGTCTAAGCTGGTCAGAGCTTGTCCAAGCTAGCCATAGCCGGTTATACCACCGCTACGTAGCAGATGTCACGCAAGCCGTTAGGTCCTGTTTTTTATCGTTTCACCCGAGACAAGACGACAATATCACTAGGACATGTGTATGTGTGTGGGGGGGGTTACTGGGAGTGAAAGAGAATGAGAATGCTTTAGTGAGAAGGAGAAAAGTAGATAAAGGAACAGAATTCAGGAACGCAGAAATTGGCTGTTGCCGATGCATTTAAATTTTTTGGCAGGGGGTTCCACAGGTGAGAAGCGCGGAAAAGAAGCTATTAGAGTAGAACATAGAATTTTATCTAGCTAATTCAACAGTGAAACAGTGAGACCTAACTGCCAATCTAGTAGCATGCGTAAATTCAGGCAGTCGAGAGACCAATGAGGACAACTCAATTGCCATGAAAATATTTATTGTAAAGAGAGAGGGAAGCCATGTCACGTCGAAGGAAAGTAACTGAAATCAAGACACATATATATATATATATATATATATATATATATATATATATATATATATATATATGAAAAGTTTTATAAATATAAATAAATATATATATATATGTATAATTATTTATATATTATATGCGCGGTTTGTCTGACGATCGCTAAAGCGTGAAACCCAGGGTCACAAACTCACATCTATCCAACATATATATATATATATATATATATATATATATATATATATATATATAAGTGAACATAGAAGTTAACACTTAGAGGCGACAGTCTGTTTCATGCAACACTTAGAGGCGACAGTCTGTTTCAGGCCTGACGATTGCGTCTAGCATGAAACAGACTGTCGCCTTTAAGTGTTGACTTCTATGTTCACCTTTATATTTACACACGCTCTATCTCTGATATTGAGCACTTCATCCCATAATATATATATATATATATATATATATATGTATATGAAGAAATACAGTCTTAACATGTGCTATATTTATGGGATAAAGTGCTCAATATCAGAGATAGAGCGTGTGTAAATATAAAAGTGAACATAGAAGTCAACAGTAAGGCTTAACGATTGCGTCTAGCATGAAACAGACGTTTGCCTCTAAGTGTTGACTTCTATGTTCACAGACAGAGTGTAGAACCGAGAAGAAAGATTTGGGTAACGCCTGGATTGATCTTATGGACTTCAGAGGACTGACCAGTCACAGCCATCTTTATGTTACAAGCAGACAGAGAGATACTGAGAAGAGATAAATAGATTAAGCACATTTTGATATATATAGATAGGTTAGAACAGACAGAAAGAAAGAAAGAAAGAAAGAAGGAAAGAAAGAAAGAAAGAAAGATAATAGAAAAAAGAGACTAAATAGATAGAGATAGATAGATAAAATGATACTACATAGATAGATAGATAGATAAATAAAAACAGAGACTAGATAGATAAAGAGATATAAACGAAATAGAAAGATATAAAACAAAGACAAGACAGATAGAGAGATAGAGATAGATAGATAAAAAAGAAACTCCATAGATAAATAGACAGACAGATAAAAATAGAGACTAGAGAGATAGATAGATAGATAGATAGATAGATAGATAGATTGTGATAGATAGATAGATGAAGAGATTGTGATAGATAGATAGATAGATAGATAGATAGATAGATAGATAGATTGTGATAGATAGATAGATGAAGAGATTGTGATAGATAGATAGATAGATAGATAGATAGATAGATTGTGATAGATAGATAGATGAAGAGATTGTGATAGATAGATAGATAGATAGATAGATAGATAGATAGATTGTGATAGATAGATAGATGAAGAGATTGTGATAGATAGATAGATTGTGATAGATAGATAGATTGTGATAGATAGATAGATGAAGAGATTGTGATAGATAGATAGATTGTGATAGATAGATAGATTGTGATAGATAGATAGATGAAGAGATTGTGATAGATAGATAGATAGATAGATAGATAGATAGATAGATTGTGATAGATAGATAGATGAAGAGATTGTGATAGATAGATAGATAGATAGATAGATAGATAGATAGATTGTGATAGATAGATAGATGAAGAGATTGTGATAGATAGATAGATAGATAGATAGATTGTGATAGATAGATAGATGAAGAGATTGTGATAGATAGATAGATAGATAGATAGATAGATAGATAGATTGTGATAGATAGATAGATGAAGAGATTGTGATAGATAGATAGATAGACAGATAGATAGATAGATAGATAGATAGATAGATAGATAGATAGATTTATGCTTACAGCCGAAGCGATAAGCATAAATGATTCGAGATTTGAAATATGGAAAATTAGATGGTATAGATAGTGTTGGGGCGCACCCACCTTCTAACTAGTAATGGACTGGTCCCTCTTATATAAGTCAGCTCTGGAGAGAGTGAGGGGAGCGTCAGAGAGAGAGAGAGTCAGCGTGAGCAGTCCAGATAAGCCTACCCGGTACATACCGTTGGACTATAGACTTTGGATATTGTTCGTACTAACCAACCTTCGTTCTATTAATCACTCTGTTGTTAATTGCGTTTATGAATATACCAGTATTTTCCTCTACAACTGTGTTTGTCTTAATTCATACACCGACACGCGGGAAACTCACAACATCTCAACAGATAGATAGATAGATAGATACTGAGCAGGCTGTGGTAGATAGATCAATAAATAGCTGACGAGAAGAATATGTTAGATAGAAAAAGAACCGAGATAGATAGATAGATAGATAGATAGATAGATAGATAGATATGAGGCGGAAAGACAAATATATATGAATAAAATTGAGATTTTTTTCTCATTATTTGCTAAGATTTTCTCTGCCTGGCACAAGGCAACATCGTCACGTATATATAAAATTCGCAAAATTTGTGAATTCGTAAAAATCGATTTATGCCATAATACCTTTTCGTCAATAAAAGGCCCGATGTGATTGTTAGCAGGTTCAACTATGCTAGCCTTGGGTCACACGAATCTAAAGCGGACCATTATCATTTCGTAATGAATTCAATTCTTGCCGAGTTCCACAAATTGTGGAGTTGTCTCAAACTAAGTGTAATAAACACTTGTAAAAATCTTAGAATATATACACAGAAACCATAATCCAAATACTTTTAGTTTCGAAGATAAATTAAACTGTCATAAACCGGGATATCGTCGGATGTAACATGGATGCATGGTATTTTATGCTATTTTTCAACGTAAGATGACGCTACAAGTAGTTCCAGAGTTGGTTTAATGGGAGTGCATTCATGTCTTTCACAGAGGCTTTAATACAAAAATAGAACAGAAACCAATTCGACTTAGATTCGCCGATTCAAATGTACATGGTGTATATCGCTCGATTGAGTTCTCAGCGAGCTTTCCGAAAAGAAATTTTGCGAAGCAAAAGACCTGCTTTCAAGTTAACGGTTGTCCATAGATTCAAGGCAAACGTAAATGATTCGAGATTTGAAATATGGAAAATTAGATGGCAGATTATTTGTTGGAAAAGGCTAGTACAGCATATTAATGATTACGGACCCCGGAATATCTATCTACCAATGTCAGTCGCTTGTTATCTATCTATCTATCTATCTATCTATCTATCTAATCTATCTATCTATCTATCTATCTATCTATCTATCTATCTATCTCTAGTTCAATCTCTATCTATTTATCTATCTAGTTCAATCTGTTGAGATCTATCTATCTATCTATCTATCTATCTATCTATCTATCTATCTATCTATCTATCTATCTATCTCTAGTTCAATCTTTATCTATCTAGTTCATTCTACTGAGATCTATCTATCTATCTATCTATCTCTAGTTCAATCTTTATCTAGTTTATTCTGCTGAGATCTATCTATCTATCTAGTTTAATCTGTTGAGATCTATCTATCTATCTATCTATCTATCTATCTATCTCTAGTTCAATCTTTATCTATCTAGTTCATTCTGCTGAGATCTATCTATCTAGTTTAATCTGTTGAGATCTATCTATCTATCTATCTATCTAGTTTAATCTGTTGAGATCTATCTATCTATCTATCTATCTATCTATCTATCTATCTATCTATCTATCTATAGTTCAATCTCTATCTATTTTTCTATCTAGTTCAATCTGTTGAGATCTATCTATCTATCTATATCTAGTTCAATCTTTATCTATCTAGTTTATTCTGCTGAGATCTATCTATCTATCTATCTATCTATCTATCTATCTATCTAGTTCAATCTGTTGAGATCTATCTATCTCTCTATCTATCTATCTATCTAGTTCAATCTGTTGAGATCTATCTATCTCTCTATCTATCTATCTATCTATCTATCTATCTATCTAAGCATTACGGCCACATCACGTTGAAACATAGGTTCCCGAATGATGTGCCTGTGATGAAATGCATAATATCCGAGTTTCAACTCCTGTTGTGTTTCTTATATTCACTTAAGCACAAATACCTTTGAGAAAGATATATTATACCCCACTTCTTCCTCTAGCTATGGTTTAATTAATAAAACTTGTATCACTAAATCATTATTATCTCAATAAAGTTCTTACAATCTAAAAAACATTTACTGGCTTTAAATAAGCTACAAAGGGTCGATAAACCGTAGAAAATGAATGAATGTAAATATATCTCAATCGCTTCTTTATCTATCTACAGGGTGTGAGGGGTAAATTGCCGCCATTTTATATTTTTAATTTCGAGTATGCGCCATGTTTGTTTTTGATTTTGGCGACGGCACATCATAGTAGGGCCAGTTGGGCACCGTCTGTGAATAAAAAAGCACCATGACGCAATACATTCCGTCAGAAATTTAGAAACGGTATGCTGTACTGTTTGACATTCGCGCCGGAAGCTCCAGTACGAACATTTCAAAGTGTTTGGGTGTCAATCTGAAGACGGCGCAGAGGAATCGGAAAGAGTTGGATGAGTCTAATGATGATTACGAAGGTATGGCAGCTTAGAAAACTCACTTTAATCGTTCTGATAAGAAAAGAACTCCCGAAATTGTTGGTGAGGGTCTTAATGAGGTACTGCTGCCCTGGGTGAAGTGGGTAGTTGCTGGAAGACACTTTATCTGGCAATAGACCTCTCCATCATGCACCATGCTACACAAGCAGGAGAACCCATTTAGACAATTTCTGCGACCACATCACCGCTTACATCTAGCCATCAACTCCCTAGACTACAAACCCCTTCATTATTATTTTTGGACGTAGTTGAGCGAGAGACCCCAAAAATCCTTGTAGCACAAAAGATGAACTGAATGCAAGGATTATGTCAGCATTCAACAACTTAAATAAGGAGACCGTCCAGATGAGTTACAGGAGATTCCGAAGTCGTCTGGAGGCCGTAGTTAAAGCCAACGGTGATTTTATAGAAGAAATTTAATCTTTAGCATTTCAAAGTGTTGTTGTGTAATTTGGGTAACTCTATCTGTTAAAATGAGATGTCAGTGTTATTTTCATTTTTGCCTGATTCAGACGACAATTTATCCATCGCACCCTGTATCGTCTGTTCTTCTCCAATTAGGCCTGTTTTTTTTTTTTGATAGGCTTCATTTTTTTCTTCTTCAGAACAGGTTGCATAATGGTTATCGTCACGAAAATCCGAGTTCAAATTCCTGTCCAGTTTATTCCGTTTACTTTCACAGAAATAACATCAAAACAAAAAAGCATAAATCTATCTCTTCACCTCTCCCTTCCAGCCTTGGGTTAAATAACAAGCTATATTGTGTTCTTCAGCCTTGGCTACGAACCATTCTAGAAGAAATAAAACTATAATTTCAAACCAATGGAGAATGCAATAGAGAAACCAATCTGGCATCTTTCTTAAGAAATTATAGCAATTCAGAGATAAGAAAAAACAAAACAAAAAAAAACGGAATCTGTTAAAATGAAAAGTCAGTATTATTTTCATTTTTGCGTAATTTAGACGACAATTTATCTATCTAAATCTCTTCTTAGGCTACGAATTCATACTTTGCCCAAAGGTATTTGAACTAGAGTGAAATTCGAACTCGGCTTCTCATTCGAAGCCACTTATCCATTCCACTAGCCTTACTCATTACTTTCGAGTTTGGAAGTCCAGCATTGAAAAGCAATATTCAAATCAGGAGTTTCAAAATAATTTGTACAGAAACTTTTAAAGATCAGAGGCAAATACAAAAGTACATTGCATTATATAATCTCTTTCTCTTCTCTCACTCTCATTCACTTTCTTTCTATCTCACTCACTCACTCACTCACTCACTCACTCACTCACTCACTCCACTCACCATACCTCCCTTGCTCACTCATTGACTCACTCACTCACTCGTTTTCTCTTTCTATCCTCATTCACTCTCTTTCTCTCTCCCATTCTCATTTACTTTCTCACTCACTCACTCACTCACTCACTCACTCACTCACTCACTCACTCCTCCCTTTCTCTCTCACCCACTCTCTCGCTTTCTCTTTCTCTCACTCACTCACTCTCACTTTCTCTCTCCCACTCCTCCTCACTCCCTCCACCACTCCTCTCAGTCCTCCCTTTCTCTCTCACCCACTCTCTCACTTTCTCTTTCTCTTTCTCTCACTCACTCACTCTCACTTTCTCTCTCTCCCATTCTCACTCACTCACTCCTCCCTTTCTCTCTCACCCACTCTCTTGCTTTCTCTTTCTCTCACTCACTCTCTCTTTTTCTCTCCCATTCTGATTCACTCCTCACTCACTCACTCACTCACTCTCTCCTTTCTCGTTCTCTCTCCCTCTCTTTCTCTCTTCCATTCTCATTCACTTTCTTTTCTTTCTCTCTCTCTCTCACTCCTCCCCTTCTCTCTCTCTCACTCCTTCCTTCCTTCCTTTCTCTCCTCCTCACTCACTCCTCCTCCTCCTCCCACTCTCTCTCCTTCCTTTTTCTCTCTCTCCTCCTCTCACTCCTCTCTCTTTCTCTCTCTCATTCCTCCTCCTCCTCACTCCTCCTCCTCCTCCTCCTCCTCCCTTTCTCTCTCACCCCTCTCTCCTTTCTCTCCTCACTCTCTCTTTCTCTCTCCCATTCTCATTCACTTTCTTTTCTCTCTCTCTTTCTCTCTCTCTCACTCCTCCCTTTCTCTCTCTCTCACTCACTCCTTCCTTCCTTCCTTTCTCTAACTCACTCACTCACTGACTCTCTCTCGTTTTCTTTTTCACTCACTCACTCACTCACTCACTCACTCACTCACTCTCTCTTTCTCTCTCTCATTTACTTTCTCTCCTCTCTCTCTCTCTATCTATATCTCTATATATTCAGGCATTCACATCAACTAGTTCTCTCTGTTTTTCTTTGTCGCTTGACCTCATCTCAAGCCTCTCCAAAGCGCCTACCGTAGCTCTCTATATAACATGCAAATATCACATGCTCATACACTTTCGTAATCCGTTCTCCCTTCTCGTGTCCTTGTGTCAGACTAAGCAAAACTTTCTAACTAACTAATGACTCAATAAATACCTATCTCGTTTTTTTAGTCATTTCATCTCTCCCACTTTCTGTATCTTCTCTCCTCTTCCCCCCTCTCTCTCTTTATATATATATATATATATATATATATATATATATATATGTATGTATTCACAGCTCTTCTCTCTCTTATTCAAGCACTTCCTCATTGCGTTACTCCAATTCATGTAAGTAGCCATCACTCACCATGTAAGTGACCCTTTAATTTTATTTCTGTGTCTACCATCAGCCACACCCCATCATGCAAGTGCTCCTATCACTCCGGCCACATATACACCTACCTACATTGATCCATCGAAGTAATCCAGGCCTTTCACTCAAGTCCGACAATACTGAATAACATCAGCTAAATTAGACCATCTCCCCCTTCCCTGCATCTTCCTCATTAAGTCCTAACATTGGACACTATTCCTGTTAGGGGTTCGCATCTATCATTAACAGAACATTGTAACACTGACTGTTAGGAAGCGACCATTTGGTTCGATGCCAGCTCATAAGCCAATTTCGAAGTCGTGGTGTGTCCCTGGTGTGTCCCTCGGCAAAATCTGTTCAACGGCAATGGCTCTCAGAGTCCATTAGCAGCATTTCACTTACCACTATTATATAAAATGAAAAACTTTACAAAAGTTGCCACATTATCTAAATTTATTGATTAAGAGCGCCCTCACAATCTCTTTGTGCTTTCAGGATACATTATATATATATATATATATATATATATATATATATCGAGATATGAGGTGTGGGCAAAAATTTCAGACCCTCTTTTTTGAAATCCGAAAAACTGAAGACAGTTCTAAGATAATTTAATAAATGTAAACGCTGGAAATTTTTACAATTAACACACACACACACACACACACACATATATATATATAATATATATATATATATATATATATATATATATATATATATATATATATATATATATATATATATATATATAGATAATATTAGTGGTAAATATACACATACATATGCAATCATATATCTAAAATATATAAATATACATACATACATACACATTTACTCTAACATTTGTCCCACACTCTCACATACACTCTCACTAAATTTTATTTTTTATTACCGGAGTTGTTTTTTCTGTTTTCTTTTTGAATTTGTAAATCTGATGAACTGGATCGTATTTACCATTCCAATGGAATAAATTATGACCATGGAATATTAGTGTTTAAGAGTTTTCTAATATATATATATATATATATATATATATATATATATATATATATATATATATGAGTAAAAAAAACACTCAGAGGACAAAACGCAAGGGATAAGATAACTTTTCTTTTTGTCTTTATTCATAGTGTGCTTTTACAGATATACATTAAAAAATCCCCATATATATATATATATATATATATATATATATATATATATATATATATATAGTAAAGCTAAAAAATCCGTTGGTATATAATCCAAGTGGATGTTAGTAAGATAAAATATTAAAACTGATCCACAAAAAGAGCTCAATGTATTTATTATTACAGAGCAAAATAATTAGTATACAATAAAATCCAAAGATATGAAGTAATTTTGGATTTAATCATGTACTACATATATATATATATATATATATACAAAGAAATGAGGTAATTTTGGATTTAATTGTGTACTATATATATATATATATATATATATATATATATATATATATATATATATATATATATTAAAATAATGAGAAAAGAACAGTAAGATTTACAACGGTGTTTTTAGTAATTATTTTAGTAATCCATATCTGCGTACATTCTTAAGCGATTTTGGCATTAATTTTAAATTTAATTATACAATTAAATTTAAAATTTTAGTCTCTGTTTTGAAACATGGTAATTCCTGTGTAGCGATGGAACTATATTTTTTAAATAGAAAATAATTATAATATATATATATGTGTGTGTGTGTGTGTGTGTGTGTGTGTGTGGCGTGTCCCCCCCAAAAAATGTACTCACTCTTTAAATAACAATAAATGTTGTGTTTATTGACTTGCAAACAAGTTTAATCTTTAAAATTACGTTATATCGCAGACAATGGCCGTAGGACAACTAATCGACAGTCGAGACAATAATGTCTTGGTGCGATAAAAATCTGCTACAATCACTGATGACGCAATATTTTTCAAGACCAAACAAATTTCATGACACACCCAGAAAATATTCATATTGCCTAATGAGGTAAAAAATAGAAATCGATTACACAGTGTCACTCCAGTGGGTCTAAAACTGACCGTATGGTGAAAGAAAGGAAGCAAAAGCTGTTGTTTCAATTAATTCTCACAAGTATGTATGTTATTCTGTTTTCACAATTGAATACCTGGATAATCAACTTATATTGATATACATGTTTGTGTGGACATAATTACTAGAGGCGATGATATGTATGTTTTATGTTGTAGTTTTGTTGAAGTTATATTTTGGAATATAGTTTGGTTTAAGAAATTGTAGGATATCATATGGATTAATGTCATGAAACAAAACTAATTGTCATACCGACAATTTTTATTGCTGGTAATATTTTTTATTTTTTTCAAAATGTAATTTTGGTATTATTATTTTGCCTTCTCTTCCGAGCGAAAACTTTACGACAGCAAACGAGCAAAACGACACCCAAGACTGCTGCCAACGGACGACTGACCACAACGGCTTTTGTCGCCCAAGAAAAGAGGTATTTACTTGACTCCCACGAAGTCAGGATGTGACACAAGGTCGGTTTAACGTGGGAGACCCGAGCGTTTCCACTCGTGCCACTGGTCCCAAACTGGTCATAGCATGTCCAAGCTGGTCAGAGCTTAGTCAAAGCTAGTCTTGGCTTGTCCTAGCTGGTCCAGGCCTGAGCCGGTCCAAGCTAGTCGTCACCGTGATCGAATCTCAGCCAAAAGGCTGAGAAACGATCCGAATTTATCGCCCAAGAAAAGGTGCCAAACGACTCGCGCGTTTTCATCTTTTAGTCCTCGGTCGAGTCCATTATGATACTCCAAGGTGTGCCCGGCGACAACACACACACACACGCAGTTCGAGGACGCTTCCGCGCATGCTCGTTACATTTTTCTTCAAAAATTTATTTCTGGGAATATTTTTCCTTCGAAAAATGTATAGCTGGTAATATTTTTTCCCCAAAAAATATACAGCTGGTAATATATTTTTCAAAAAATGTATAGCTGTTTGTATTGCTGGTATATTTTTGTTTAAGTATTGCTGATATTAATTTTTCCTTCAAAAAATTATTGCTGGTAATAATTTTTTTTACAAAGTATTTCTGGTATTAAAACCTATTTTTACACTTTCATAGTATTTTGACCCACGTTTGGGTGTTAACTATTTGCCCATAGCTGTGACCCGAACAGATGCTACCATCCAGGTCAGGGTGGACCTGGGAACACCAACAATTAAGAGGTGGTTCCAAGTTCCTCAAAACCTCCTGATTAGAGGCCTTGCAGTGGGATGTAGTTTATCGTCTTACCCAGAACGGTTGAACACTATGGAATATAGTTAACTTGGAACGTTGGGTTAATGTGTATTAGTAAAAATGATCTAATCAGCAATTATTAAACGTGTTGCGTATCCCAGGGACAGAGGTTTTAAGGAAAAGGGAGACATAAAACGATAATTGTACTTTAAGTCAGAAAAACATAGCTGAAATTGTTGTTACAAAAAAGAGAAAAGATGGCGTGTATATTCGCAGGATATATTGCAAACCAGAGAGACATGGGGAAAAACGAGTAACCTAAACAACGAATTGCGTTAATGGATAACAGAATAGGTGTGGCAAGAACAGTAAACAATCTACAAGAAATGGGAAATTGTGGAGAGTCAAGATCGCGCAGGTTCCAGCGGGGGGGGGGAGAAGACTAACAGAAGGAGATTGCTTGTCTTCCATTCTGTGGAGGCGGCGTCTTTTCCATTAGCAACCTTTATCGTCTGAGTTCTAAAATGGCGGAGGAGCAACGCTTACGCGTGTTAACATGAAAATCGATCCGTGTTGTACCTGTTAACTCTAACCGTTTCAACATGGCGGCACTTTATTAGGGGAGAAGAATCGCTGATTAAATGTCATGAGATGGAAATGGAAAAGAAAAGTCATCTTTCGCGGGAAAACAATTTTACAGCTTGCTTAGGACAACAGGCAAGTGTTACTGGGCATGAAACAACAGACCTGATAAGAGTTCAACATTCAATATATATATATATATATATATATATATATATATATATATATATATATCGATGATATATATATATATATATATATATATATATATATATATATATATATATATATATATATATATATATATGATGCGATATATATATATACCGTATATATATATATATATATATATATATATATATATATATATATATATATATATATATATATATATATATGATGCGATATATATATATATATATATATATATATATATATATATATATATATATATATATATATATATATATATATATATACTGATACGATATATATACATAGGGTGCAAATAAATTGTCTACAATATGCAAAAAAGAAAATAACATTGACATCTCAATATATTTTAATATATATATATATATATATATATATATATATATATATATATATATATATATATATATATATATATATATATATGTGTGTGTGTGTGTGTGTGTATGCACACATGGTGGGATGAATAAATTGTCGTCTACAATACGCAAAAAAGAAAATAACATTGACATCCCATTTTAACAGATATATATCTCACGCACGGTGGAGTAATGGATAGCGGAGAGCCGAGTTCGAATTCCATTGGAAGCCATTACATTCACTTACGTGCTAATACCCTTGTGAAAGGTGTGACTCCTCTTCTACTCC